AAATAAAAAAAATCGTACGTTGCATTTTTCGAGAGGGCGAACGTTCGAGCCCGCAAGAGGTGAAAGCAAAATATGTTGCTGAGCGTGTGGGAGATAAAAGCAAAATAAAAAATAAAAGGCAAAAAAAAAAAACGTACGGTTGCTTTTGTTCAATCATGTCAGAATATGTCAGTTTTCGGGTCGGCGAAGGTTCGAGCCAGCGAGAAGGGATGTTGCTGAGCGTGTGGGAGATAAAAGCAAAACAAAAGGCAAAAAAATTAAAAATAAATAAAAATCGTATGGTTGCTTTTTTTTCAATCATGTCAGAATATGTCAGATTCGTGTGGTTTCGGGTCGGCGAAGGTTCGAGCCAGCGAGAAGGGATGTTGGTGAGCGTGTGGGCTAGAGGGCGAAGGTTGGAGGCTCACAAGAGCGTCTCTCAGGTGCGGTGGAACGTGAATTGTTCCCGCACACCTTTCTGTGCGAAGGGTCCAACATGCGGATTTTATTTGGTGCTGAGCAGACGCCGAAGGTTGGGGGTACTGGTTAGGTTTGAATCGGGGTCGGTGGCGGTTGCGTGGAAGGTTGGGGGTCCATCGATGCGCCGGGACTTACCTGCGTAACTCCCGGTTCCTGAAAGAAGTTTGACGCGTGCTTGCGAGACGGTTAGGGCCGAGCTGTGAATCATAAGTTGGGGGTGCGTTGACGTATGGGGGGGTATCTGCACAAGTCGCAGTCACGAAGCGTACAGGAAGGTATACAGTTTGAAAGGAGAGGCCCTTGCTTTCTTGCGAAATGTTGCACACGTAAATAGATTGCGCGGTGGGTGTTATGGGTTTTCGTAGGGTTTTCGTAGGACTTGGGTGATTAATCGTCGGTAGATCTTTTTTTAATATTTTGTTTGTTTTTTTCGTAAGTAGGATTTTGTAGGACTTCCGTAGGGAGGCGATGACGAATCGTCAGAGGAGAGCGGACGATCAGGTGATCGATATGAGCTGGTAGCAATTCGCATAGCACAGTTTCTGACATGTAGGGGGCATGCGGGCAGTCTGAGGCGCGTGGTGCTCTGTGCCTGATCATTTGGCGAGGTGCAGCTTGAGAGACATGCAAAGGTAGCAGTTTGGTGGGGAAAGGGTGGCCCGTGGAGGTCCAGAGCTGTAAGTATTGTGTGTTAAAGCGGACGGGTACAGGACGGTGGTGCGTGGGACGGTGGCAGGAAGGGGTGTGACATTCATCGTATTCATCGCATATTGTAATTCCAGCAGGAGTTGGGCTGGGCGTAGAGCGGGAAAGGTAATGTCAGATCCCCTCGTCCCGATGATCTGGTAGCAATCTGCATACCACAAGTTCTGACATTTGGGTGGTGTGCCGACAGTCTGACGCGCATGCTGCTGTGTCGGTGATCGTTCCACGGGGTGCACCTTCGCAGACAGAGAAAGCTATCAACAATTTGGTGGGGAAACGGGCGTGGAAGACGATTGTGGGATACTGATTTTATGTTTTAAGGTGGGTTCGTGCAGGTGGGTGGGGCGCGGAAGGGTCGGAGGGGGCGCTGTGACACTGATGGCGGGGTGCAATGCGGACATGAGTTTGAGTGGATGTAGAGGGGGGGTGTGCGAATATCGGTAATTCGATGTTAAGCAGTATAATAATAAGAAAAAGAAAACTAAGAAAAAGAAAACTAAGAAAAAGAAAAAGAATGAGTGGACGTAGAGGGGGGGTGTGCCACGTCGCAGATCATTATGTATAGCAATCGACCTGTTTTTCTTTTTTTTTTCTAATTAATTAATACGTATTACTCTGCTTCGGTCATCATCATGGTAAGGGTAGCCATCGTCATCATCACGGTTGTAATACAATCTGAATACAAACACTTACATGTTGCAGTTTCTGTACCTCACGATAATGATGACGGGAATGGTCGTAGTCACCCCGATGATGAGGTCGATGCGGGTATGCACCATGCGTATCAATCACCATCTGTTCATTTCATGATCATGATCACGGCTAAGATGATCACATCATCAGAGTCGTTATGATCATTATCACGGTCGCCGTAACAGAGTCTGAACAGAGGAGCAAATATGGTTGTAAAAACTCTTGCCCTTGCTTATATGTCCAAAACAAAAAAGAAGGGGAAAAACAACAAAAAAACAACAACCCTTCTGCAATCGAACTGTTGCCCTATGTCAACGTCATCAATTCACATTCAGCTTTTCAACTCTCTCTCTCTCTCTCTCTTACTAGCATGATGTGTCTATATGTTGATGCTCACATTCGGATGATTAACGGATGATGTCCTTACCTGCCATGGTAAACTCACGATTCCTTCATCATCATTTTAAGCTGCACTCATGCACTGACAATCCTATCAGGATCCGGGGACAGTCCGCTAATGCACCTCCACATTCATTCTCTGCTTCTGTCTGATGAAGCTGTATTTCGAAATTTACAGTCCTTGCGAGTCACAGTAATTACATTATGCGCTGACCTACTGTCATGCGGGCGAAGCCGCACTGGTCCTTCTTGTTATTGTTTGTTTGTGAGGACCCGTGTTTGTTCGTGAGGACCAGTGCTTGTTCATTAGTGAGCGGTATCCGTTTATTTATGAATCAACCTCGAAAGGGACTAAGCTACAAGTGCGGGTTTCCATCGCAGGCACATCCAAAAGTGCACTCTCTTGCAAGCTCACGTTGGTTCATCATGGTTCTTTTAGCTAAATCAACCCACGGGTGGCTCCTCTCATCCATGATGGCTTTCACGAACCACCTCGCTGAACAAGTGGTGGCCTGCAACTTTGGGTCTAACCGGGCTGCATTTTCCGCTCTACTCAACTAAATAGAGAGTCGCTGCATTTTCCGCTCCTGCCAGGTACCAGATACTCTCTGGGAATTGGGTACATGAGAATGGTTCTGAGCTTGAGAAGGAGGGCCCTGCCGGAGACTGAGGGAAGTCATTTTGCAATTTGGCAACCACTCTGCTTCCTATGAGAGAACTCGCGCACGGCTTAGAATCCAGCATTGAAACTTGCACACCCAGAAAACTGTCACACTGATCTGCAGGCACTGAAGGAAACGTCACAGACGGTGAGGATGGACATTGTGGGGAGTGGTCAGAGGGTTAAGAAGAAGAAGAAGAAGAAGAAGAAGAAGAAGAAAGGAAGAAGAAAGGAAGAAGAAGGAGAGGATTTGATGGAGGGGGGTGGTGGAGGAGGGAGGGCAATTTGATGGAGGAGGGCGATGGAGGGGGATGGAGGAGGTTTGATGGAGGAGGGTGATGGAGGGCAGTGGCGGAGGGGGGCGTTGAAGGAGGGTGATAGAGGGAGGCAATGGGGGGGGCATTGGAGGAGGGCGAGGGGGGAGGGCCAAGCAACTGGACAGTTTGATTTTCTGTTTTCCCTGTATCGAGACTGTTTGCCTGCGAGTACAGCTGCGAGCCTAGACCAGAGTTTGCTCTAGCCCCGCCCTGCTCAGGTGCAGTTCAGCATCTCTCTCTCTCTCTCTCTCTCTCTCTCTCTCTCTCTCTCTCTCTCTCTCTCTCTATATATATATATATATATATATCTATATATATATATAGCCCCTCGTTTGTTGTCCTCTTCTCCCTCTCTGCCTACGGTTTACCGGGCAGTTCTATTTGACGATATATATATATATATATATATATTCTATTTGACGATATATATATGATGAGTCGGTGAAACTCCGACGAAACAGTTTGTCACAGCCCCTCATTTGTTGTCCTCTTCTCCCTCTCTGCCTACGGTTTACCGGGCAGTTCTATTTGACGATATATATATATATATATATATATATATATATATATATATCCCAAGAAGATGGAAGAAGAAGAAGCCTTGTCCATGTATGAACAACCTCTCTCTCTCTCTCTCTCTCTCTCTCTCTCTCTCTCTCTCTCTCTCTCTCTCTCTCTTCCCACGAAGATGGAAGAAGAAGAAGCCTCGTCCACGTATGAGCGACCTCCTCCTCTTGGTCAGACCGCAGGCGAGTGGCAACACGCGGGTGATGGCAATGAGGTGACACAGGAAGGATGGCGACAAGGCTATGGGTGAGTGATGGTGAGCGGACGAGGCGGCAATGCAACGATGGCGAGCAGCGTGGTGGCGATGTGAACAAGGGTAGCAGTCACCAGCAACACTTTGTTCTGGTTCCTGCCCTTTCACACACAACAGAGGCAGCCGATCTTGCAACATAGGTGGCTAAGATCAGCCACCATATATATTTTTTAAAACAAAGCTGTTAGGTCCCCCTTTTGTTTGTGTGTGTGTGTTGCAGCGGCCTCCACGAGGCGGCGAGAGGCCGCCCAGGACATTTGAGGGCCGGTACTCCTACCCCCCTCTCCCCCCCCCCGCCAAAAATGTGCTGGGGTTGCTTCGACAGTTAGGAGAGGGCTATTTAGAAATCCAACGTATTCCTACCCTCGACTAACTCAGCCCGTTCTACTCCTATTGTGGAGGCCTGATGCTGACTAAGTCTTATAGCCAGTGCTTTTGCTAATTTTTCTTAGGATGTATTCAGCATGGAGATCGACCTCCAGTTCCTAATTTTTCTTTTATAGCCTTCTTGTAAGGGAGGGCACAATATCAAGTGCAACACACTATGCGAGGCATTACATCTATAATAGTATACATACAAATGAGTCCATGGCCATAGAGGGTGCCGCTTGCTTGCAACCCTTCCTCTAAAGCTGTGAGGATATGCCCCCTGTGCAAGGAACATGAGTGTGAACGAAGTACAGAAATCCAAATTGCAAATCACCCTGAAGTCCATGTAGTCAAGCAAAGAGCAGATAGCACATTGGA